CACCCGACAAATACAGATCAAACTGAAGATTTTTCTAAATAAACAAGTGAGATTAAAATCGAAGTTTAACTACTTCTGCAGCAAGTAAAATTGATTGGTTTTTCTTTTGTTTTCGCTCATCAAACAACGGGTTTTGATATAAATATCTTTGATATAATCGCATTCTTTGATGTATACCTCTTTCACTACCATGCACCTGAAAAAAATCATAAAAGGATTCCTAAAAAAACACTGAAATAAATCCGTCAGAACTGCTTGATCAAAAAACACAAACCTGTAACGCTTTGTGGTAAACATCTTCTACATTATACACTGCTTTCTTGGGAAAAAGCTCCTTCCGTGGGAGATTCTGAAGATGCTCACGTGTTAAGCCAAATTCTAACATGGCACGAGTCTGAAATCAAATTGTATTCAGAAATAAAAAACTTAATTATGGTATGTTTGAATCGTACTAATGAATGCGTACCCCATCTCCAAAAAATGGATATCTACGATTTCTTTCTTGAACTTTTCCACACCCACGGAATTTCTTCCTTAAATTTTTCTGTACCCTCGTATCCTCGAAAACTAATTAGGCCGGTGGCCATTTATTAAATCCATACTGTACTGCATCATCAATAACATTTTATTTTATCCTAATTAAGCACAATGCACATTAATTTTATTAAAATTTAATTTCAGCTTTCAATAAAAGCACCTGGAAATAACAACCTCTTCAATTACGTCCTCTGTCGCAACATTTTGTTTCCGTGATGACTGAGCGGCACGAAATAATCTACCTTTAAGCTCATTAATCTTCCCGTTGAACGCGCAGGTATGGAAAAGCGCATGTGAAGGAGTCTCCAGCACTGCGATAAGCATTACTTGAGTAAGAAGCAAACATAAATTTAAAAAACTTGAGAATGACTGACATAGAAAGTGTCAACATTCGAAAATGAGCACAGCACGTAAATACATAATAGAACAGTTACCAGGTGGAGATCAAGCTTTTGAAAAGCATTATGAAAAATTTTTTAAAAGTTTATTTACTTCATCATCTAACCGTCTCTATATTCCTTTGCTTAATCCACATTATCTTATCATTTTATCA